ACATACCACTCCCGTTTATTATCCCTATCACTAATTGCTTGGGTAATGAATATACATTCACCTTGCAGCATCTGTCCTTAATGAGCTCCGAGATCTGGAGCAGCATCGCCAGCAACTACAGGAAAACATAGCTTTAGCCACATCCCGGGTGGAGAGCCTTCGACAGGAAGAAGGTCGGATCAAGACAGAGCTCGAGAGGCTCAAGACTAGTGTTGAACAGGTGAAGTGCTTATTCTGGGTGGCAAGTAACTGATTGTTTGGGCTCTGTAAGTTCCCTTTGAAATAGATATCAGTTTAAAATGATTGTAGTATGACAGCATTAGCAACATTACTAGTTGTATTAGTTGTAGCAGAAGTAGCAGTAATAGTATAATAGTAGTAGTATAGTAGTAATTATAGTAGGAGTAGTAATAGTACTGTATTAGGGATGGTAGCAGTTGCAGAAGTAGTAGTAGTTGTTGTAGTAATAGTAATAGTAGTAGCAACAGTAGTAGTAGCAAAGATAGCTTTAGTAGTAGTAGTTATTGTATCAATTGTAGTAGTAGTAATAGCAGTAGAAATAGTAGTAGTTTTAGTAATATTAATACCAGTAGTAGTAATACTAGTAGTAGTAGTAGTAACAGAGTAGTAGTAGTAGTAACAGAGTAGTAGTAGTAGTAACAGTAGTAGTAGTAGTAGTAGTAGTAGTAGTAGTAGTAGTAGTAGTAGTAGTAGTAGTAGTAGTAGTAGTAGTAGTAGTAGTAGTAGTAGTAGTAGTAGTAGTAGTAGTAGTAGTAGTAGTAGTAGTAATAGTAATGGTAGTATAAGTAGTAATAGTAGTAATAGTAGTAGCAGTGATAGTTGTAATAGTATTCATAGTAACAGTCAGTTGCAGTTGTAGTAGTCATAGTAGTATTACTAGCAGTAGAAGTAGTAGTTGTAGTTGTTGTAATATTAGTAATAGAAGTAATAGTACTTTCTGCTCTCTCTCTCATGTGGTGGGTAATGTCAGTCTGCTGTTACCTTTACTTTTTCACAAACTGATTATCAAATATAAACATAATGACATGTAGTCATGATGTATTTCTGCAGTCTTTTGTATTTTTTTTTTTTTTTTTTGTGTGTGTGTTTTTTTTTCTATTTAAACTCAGGAGTGATTACTTTCAGTATTCAAATCATGTCATGTTCTTAGCCCAGCTTAGGGTAATACTGATATATTATATATGTATGTACAAGCTATACAGGGGTTTAAGTAGCTTATTAATTATTCAACCATGCAAATTGGACATGAGAACTATGTGATTTTCACAGTTTATCCATATGTTGATAAACACAGCAAATTTTGAACATTGACAGGTTTAGAAATGTAACTCTTGCAAATTTTATGGGCCAAATATTGTTAGTTGAAAAGGAGTTAACTGTTGTTTTCTCTTTCAGGCTCTCCTTGCACAAAGAGAAGTGTTTGAGAAGAACATGCCACACATTGTAGCTCCTAGGAGGATCACTGCAACCCATGAGAACAGCATCCGTCTTCCGGCTCCTAGTGCCCAGAGTGTTGCACAGTGTCGTATGCATAACTGCTTTGATTACTCAAGGTGTTCGGTGCTGTCAAATTTTCCTGTGTACCACTATGATGTGGATCAGTACAGAATATCCACCAGTGATTTGGAAGTCTTTGTGAAAACAACAGTTAGACAAGCACTTGGTTATAATGCTCACATTACTATGGATCCTGATGAGGCCTGCATATTTGTAGCCTTAGTAGGTGAAAGCATAGGTTCTTCTGTGGATAAAGTTAATCTTGAGGAAAACCTGCATAGTCTCCCATACTGGAACGGTGATGGTAGAAACCATGTTCTCTTGAATCTTGGCCGCACAATCTACAGCAGGAATGTCTTTGATGGGGTGAACACAGGTCGAGCTCTGACTGTACAGGCCCATTTCTACTCTCACTTATACCGCCCAGGTTTCGACATAGTTGCCCCACCTCTGCTTGGCCTTCCCGGGGGAGACCTTTGGCACAATCTTCCTCCAATGGTTCCTGCCAAGAGGAGGTACTTGTTGTCCTTCCAGGGGGAACTACCACGGCTAAGGAACTACTTAGATAAGGAAGAGCAGCCTCCTTCAAACAATCCAAGCATGAGGGAGGAAGTTGCTGTGGTGGAGGAATTGATTCAGCTTGAGAAGACTCGAACAGATGACCAGTTTCTCCTGCAGTTCACCTGTCAGGGTAGCGGAGGGTATGGTGACCTTGAGGAGTGGCAGATTTGTGAGACTGAATCTATGAGGACTCAAGTGTTGCGAGATTCTACCTTTACTTTAGTGTTGGCCCCTCCAAATCCAACGGAAATATCTACTGTTACTTTCCAAGCAAGAGTGTTTGAAGCCTTGAAATATGGGGCTGTTCCAGTCATTCTTGGAAATCATGTGGAATTTCCACTGAGCGAAACCATTGACTGGCGTAAGTTGGCTCTCACTTTTCCCAAGTCACGAGTTACGGAAGTACACTTCTTGCTTCGCTCACTGTCGGATGCTGATATTCTCTACATGCGTCGCCAAGGTCGGCTGGTTTGGGAGCGATTCTTAGGGTCCACACAAGTCCTTGTTGACTCCATACTTGCAATCCTAAGGGAAAGGCTGAACATTCCTCCCCTTGCTGCAGCTGACGAACCCTCACAGAGTGTCTTCAATGATTCATTTGTGGTGAGATGAATGCTTATATAGATCATGAGCAGTATGATTATGTTAGGCATATTTTGTTTTGTGATATTGTTATAAAATAGATTTTCAGTCTGTTAATGGTAAGATTTTATTATTTACCATTTTTAGTAATTTTTGTGCTCCTTAAGTAGTGTATTTTTGAACTTGACTTAAACATCAATGATATTTCTACTCACAGCCACTGAAGACTGAGGCGGACATCCCAGACCCAGACACAGATGAGAACTTGGGTCCCATAGAGCCACCTTTCCCCTCTGTCTCCTTCACCCGGAACTATACCATCTCTCTTCTGACGGGGTATGAGTTGTGGAATGTTTGGGGGGATCCCTTCAATCTATATCCTAATCTCCCTAACAATCCAATACTCCCTACTGAGGCCAAGTTCTCAGGCTCACAGTTAGGATTCCGGCCAATTAACTCTGGTTCTGGAGGCTCTGGGAAGGAGTTCAGTGAGAGCCTTGGTGGAAACCTGCCAAGGGAGCAGTTCACCATTGTTATGCTGACATATGAGAGAGAACAGGTGAGTACTTTGAGGTGCTTCGATTGTGATAGTGTTTGTGTTCTTTCACGCATAGTATCTAAAGTCATTGATGTGAAAGTATTTTAGCAGAACTAAATCCATTTTTTTATTTTTTTATTACATTTATTCCTTATATAAACCCAAACAGGTGTTGCTGAATTCCTTGGCTCGCCTCTACGGCCTCCCATATCTGAATAAAGTCATAGTGGTCTGGAATTCCCCTAAACCTCCTCCTGAAGACCTTCGTTGGCCAGACATAAAGGTCCCTGTGCAGGTGTGGTGATTGAGGATGATTTGAATTTCTTTTTCTCTTTGCTGATGATATGTACTGCTTGTAAGGGATGTATTCAGTTATATTTTCATAGGTTTTGTGACTTCACATTTTTAGCAACCAATATGTGCCCTGATTGCATTGCAGGTAATACGAGCTGAACGCAACAGCCTCAACAACAGGTTTTTGCCATATTCTGAGATTGAGACTGAGGCCGTCCTTTCTGTAGACGATGATGCACATCTAAGACATGATGAGATTGTTTTTGGCTTCAGGTATATTGTCATTGCAGTGTCAGTGATGTAAAGCTAACTCTTGCTTGAATCAGATTTCTTGTTTAATCTTTATACATTTTTTGAAAATCTGTGTGTGCGTGCGTCCGTGCGTGCGTGCGCAGGTGTGTGTGTGTGTGTGTGTGTGTGTGTGTGTGTGTGTGTGTGTGTGTGTGTGTGTGTGTGTGTGTGTGTGTGTGTGTGTGTGTGTGTGTGTGTGTGTGTGTGTGTGTGTGCGCGTGTGTGTGTGTGTGTGTGTGCGTGTGCGTGTGCTGCGTGCGTTAGTGTCCATGTCTGTGTTCGTTTCTGTGTCCATAGATAACGCATGTCTATGAATAAATAAGAATGAAATATAAATTTGATAAGAATATAAATGATACATGATATTGCTTTAAATTATCATGTAGTGCACTTTCCCAGGGTTTGGAGGGAGGAGAGAGACCGCATTGTGGGCTTTCCGGGACGTTACCATGCCTGGGACCTGAACTATGGGGGCTGGCTGTACAACTCCAACTACTCCTGTGAGCTCTCAATGGTGCTTACAGGTGTGTAGGATTTTACTGCATGGTACCTAGAGGCTAAGACAAGACAAGACTTGTTAAGGCTCTTGTTGGTGTTATGTGACAGCTTTTTCTGTAACTGGCATTTGTTGTTATTTTCATTATTTTGTTTTAATATATCGTGTATTTACAGTATTTTTCTGATTACACTTACGCATAACATATCAGTTTATTACTTCTTATATGTAACTGCATATATATTTTCTCACTTTTTGCCCACAGGAGCGGCCTTCTTCCACAAATACTATGCCAACATGTACTCCCATGTCATGCCACAGGCAATACGAGATAAAGTTGATGAATACATGAACTGTGAGGACATTGCCATGAACTTCCTTGTGTCCCATATCACTAGGAAGCCACCAGTCAAGGTGTGTTAGACACAGAAGTGGATTCAAAAGCATTATCATCAGTGATTGTAATATTGTCTGATAGTATTTCAGATGAATACAGAATATAGATTTTAATAAATGTCGAAGAAATTATGTATTAGAAAGAATAACATTACAATGCATCTTTTGTTGTAAAGTTATTAATTCTCTTTTGAATCATTTTCTGCTTATCAATGGAATTTAGAATTGATTAACCTTGACTTAATGGATAGACAAAGATTAATGAAATTGATTATGCCATACATTAAATTCTCTTTCCTCTCCCCTCTTATTGCCAATGCAGGTGACGTCTCGATGGACTTTCCGATGCCCAGGATGCCCTGTGTCTCTCTCTGAAGATGACTCACACTTTACAGAGAGGCATAAATGCATAAACTTCTTTACTCAGGTGAGGGGCAGGGATCTTCTATTTTGTGATTCTTCTTTCTTTATTCTTTTGTAATTTTGTAATTTGTGTATTTGTGTATTATTTAGTATCAGTATATATATCATAATCATCATCATCATTATTATTTCATGATTTTTAGTATGATAAAGATGATAATACTAATTATTATGCTATTGTAATTATTTTGATTATGATTATTGCTTACATTAAAATACCATATTATTATTTTCAACATTATCATCTTTACAACTGTTTCCCTCTGTCCTTCCAGGTTTATGGCTACAACCCACTCCTGAATACCCAGTATCGTGTGGATTCTGTTCTCTTCAAGACAAGGCTTCCACATGACAAACAGAAATGCTTTAAGTTTATTTAAATTCTATGTCTCTTTTTCTTTTTTCGTTACTTCTTAAGTAGAAGGGTAATACATCAGGGTAGCTTTTTAGAGGTAATGATTATTGAATTTATCAACTCTCCTCTTTATTTAAGCAGATTACTGTGCTTTTAATTTTTAATTATCATCCATTTTATTTTTTTCTGTGCACTCCCTGTCTTGTGTGCCAGTCTGTCCTGAAAATTAATGATGTAACAGATTTTTAAAAAGAGCTTCAAAGAAGTTTATATATATGCTAAATAAGACTTGTTATTTGTTATTGCAGACATTTTAAGACTTTTTATCTTGTGACAATAAACATGACTTCCCCCAAATATTTAATAGGAATTGCTATATTAGCACTGATACATAGAGAGAACAACTGACACATAGAGCGATCAAAATCACATGGGCAGTGGTTACAATATTATTATGTTATTTCACCCAGTTTTTCTTTTGTAGATGCAGGAAACAGAAGAACTTGGAGACACTTGAATTAGTCTTCTAGCCGTTGTTGTGTACATATTGGGCAGCGTGTATGATATAGATTTAATAATGTTTAGATAGCATATGGCTCTGCCTTGTGCAGTATGTAGCAATGACCTCATGAGTAGAGCTGTTTTGCATTTAGTGAAATATATATTTATTGCTGAAAAGGAGAATAATATTGCTGGGGTGTTTACTGTAGAGAATATGAATGAAGTGTTACAATAATAAGAGATTAATTAATTGTTATACATACATTGGAAATGAAGAATAGGAAAGAGGGGAGAATATTTTCCTAATCTCCAGTTTTACCTACAGGTGTATGAGACACTTGAATATTGTTTTACCATGAATGCTATTGAAAGAGTGTGTTTGGATAGTGTACTAATGAAAGGGAGGCAGGTTATGTCTTTTTATCTTTTTTTGTCTTAACAGTGATAAGATTGGAATGTGTGTCAAACTTAAGACCATGCAGGATGTGAGCATAGTATGGTTATATTTTTGTAGAAATAAAAACAAATTTTATGATTAGGAATTATTGGCCAAATATCATTAAGAATTGGTTAAGGTCATTTGTTAATTCACACTTTGTAAAGACAAAGGGCAATAATGAAATTTTGCATTACCTGTTAAAGTATATTTACCTATTGATATCTAGATGGCATGTCCACTGTGATTTTTGTTTATTTATTTCATTTACATATAAATGGCTCCACAAGAGCTTATTCACCAAAGATTCAATTGTCCTACCTATTTCACCTCTTTACCTTTTCTTTGATTTTCAGATTGATTTTTTTTTTTTTTAAGTTCTTGCCATTAGTACTGTCAATAATCATAATGTCCATAATAGTAACAGTGGTGTCCATATTAATAGCATTAAAATTTTTTTCCTCAAAACTCATAGAAAGGGTAAATCTTCAGGCAGGCCGCCTGTTTGACTCTTTGATGACCAAGTATTTGTGGAGCTATGTGTGTGTAAAAGAAATAAAAGGAACAAAACTGCAGTGGACAGAGCAGTTACTTAATACCAATGGTTTAAGGCAAGTAAGGAATGAAATGAAAGACAAGGTAGAAATGTGAAGAGAAAATGTTTAAAGAAAAGTCATTTTTTAGGCTTACAAACTCTTGAGTTGATGTCTGTGTAGCATAAATGATAAGTTTTATTTTCTTATTATAATTTTAGTTCTAATGCATTTGCAGTAGGTGTTGTACCTACACATTTCTTAGTTATTTGGTTTCATAATCTTCCCACTTTTCTTATATACCCATGCTTCAATTATTAAGAGCTTTTTTATCTTGATAACTGCTAATTCCTCGAGTAACCAGTGTTTGTATGTAAGTTTCGTCTTTTGAGTCACGTTGAATGTTACGGATGGACACGGTCATCTTTGATAGTTTTATTTTTCTACATGATTTTTGTTTCTTTTTTTACTTCAACTTTTTTTAAATTCAGAGGTTTAATTTCTGGGCATTGAATGGGAAATCTCTTGTTAGAACTTTTGAAATAATGAGTGTTTGAATAAAACTTTATTCTGTGA